GAGAGGTCACTTCCACGAAACCTTGCAAAATTCAAGGAACAGATAGAACGTTTCTTCGTGGCTGGGGGAGCGAGGATTGATCTCATAGCCAAAGTGATTGATCTGGATAACGCAATTGGTGGATACAACTTCGATATCCCTAATTTAGAAGAAACTTCAAATAAAATAGAAAGTCTGCGAAACTCTGGAGGTAAGGATCGATGGTTGGTAATACCCATACCTATGTGCCACCTGCAGAGTAAAGCGTATGGCAGTCGTAATGAAGTAGGCAGACAAAATCAAAATGCATGGAAAAGGTTGTATATTTAGCAAACAATGTGTGTTCTATCTCTCTCTTTCATTTGATCCATTTTTTGATTTTGACTTGCAGATTTAGACTCTCCAATTTCTGAGAACATACAACAGATGTTTTTAGATGATCTACTGACTACTTATCAGCAAATGGAAGCAAGTTTTACTCAGAATCTTTATCAGTTTTACAAAGGCTTTGAGTTCCGCTCACTGTGGAATGTTGGTGATACCTTGGTCAATTATCAGCGACGAGCAAGCGAAGCTGCTCGGGGAACCGATCAACTCCGTGGTGTACTGGAGCTGACTAATGCTTTACAGGAAATCGATTCTATCGAAAGCAAAGGGAGAAAATGCTTCACTAAGTTCAAATACTCAACCAATACACACAAATGGTCTTTTAACATTTTTGATCATGCCATGGTCAGTATTTTCGTAAGCGTATATGACTTATTAAAAAAGCCAGCAGTCATTTTGTTTTACCAAAAATACAGGTGACAAAGTATGCTGCGAGATAGTGTTGCATATATACCGTGCCTACTAACATACAATAGTAAACGCCATCAATACGAGTATCTTTAATTCACAATAACTTTGAACTGCATGCTCAAGTTAAAACTAATTTCATTAAAGTTATTGCTATAGAAATTCCAGAGGTAACTGATAAAGGTGCTGCATTGCGAAATTTCGTGGGAAAAAGGGTCGCATGCAAGGTTCAAGTTTTCCTCCATTCTGATTGGTTATATTTTCTAGAGCATGTTATAAATGGAAGTTTTTTTGGGAGATAATAGTAATGTAAACAAAGACAATATCATATTGTAATTTCTTTTGATAGTTGAAGATCGTAAAAGTTGTAAAAGCAACTTATGATACGATTTCAGAGGAATTCGAAATTAGGAATACCACAAATGCTAGGTCTCCCTGTGTCATTTAATGAGTTAGTGCAATACTTGTTTGAACAGCTTTTTTTCCTTTTTCTCACTTTTTAATGTACTAGCTCTTTAATGATTTGCACAGAGGAAAAGCGACGTTCACAATAAAGGTTTCTGACAACTGTAAGTCATGCTACAATGTTCGTCTTTTAAAGGTAGGAAAAGTTTTCAATAATGTTGTTTCATCGGATTGCAGGGTCATCGATCGATGCCATTTTACTCTGACACTTAACGAGGACGATGTCTAGTTCCATGTGCTTTAGTGAATAGTCTACACAGCTCGGCGCTTGTTTATATTAAGTCTCAGTATACTCTTTGAAAAGTTACGTAGTGTTAACACCGTACGTTTCGCGTTGATCGAAATAAAAGATTTCCGTAGCTAGAATTGAGGAGAGCTATTTTACTGCAGTCGCGCGTATCGAGTTACGTTTCATTTCTCTCCATATTTACTTAAACACTTCACGGCACTTTCTTTTGGTTTTCCCTTTTTCCTTTTCCATCGTATTGACTTAATATCTCATTTTATCACTATCATGCTGTTATTATAGCTAAATCAAAGTCAAAGTTTTGCGTTTGTGGCTCCTTGCCTACTTCGTGACCTACAAGGAGTTTCCGCCTTTCCATCCTATGACTGAGAAACAAGAATTGTTCTCATTTCCACTGTGGCTTGATAGTGAGGCAATTGATTTCTCTCCTTGGTTTCAATCGATGGTTCCGTAGTCAACAGCTGTTTTTTTTTTCTAGATGTATGTTGAACTTTATGGAAATGAAACTCAAAAGGAAAACAATTCACCACCAATTGTTTATCTAAGACTGCGACATACGAGTGCCTCGTTTTTTCGGGATGGAAATGGAAAAATAAGAGAATTCAGACAGCAAAACATGGACGTTTGGCGGAAGTTTGAATTTGACCGATTTGCAATTACAGATACCGCCAAGTGCCAGGCAGAGAAGAAAAAAGGAAATAGTAAGTATTCAGACTTTAATTGACCATATAGAGTTGAAAACTATCGTTGCCATGAAGCAGAAACTCTGCTGTTGAAAAAATATGAAAGAAGATCAAGAAGAGGAAGATGAAAGAGAAGTTATTTGGATTTATACAATTCTAGGCTATTTCGCAGGCTTATGGCTAAAACAGTTTCCTCGTCAGGTAAAACTGGTGGATAAACGGCGATTACTGCAAGCCTTCCGAGTCCTAAAACCGGGTAGTGAAACTCCATCTGATTTCTTAGTGATCGGACTCACATAAGTTTCCTCTAAATTATTTAAGAAGCTTATATAGTACTGGTGTGCTTTTTTAGAGGACTCTCTATACTGCATGGAGAAAGACGATGTTCGCTTTCAAGCAATGTGCTGCCATTACCTTAGTGATTCCCCATGTCAGGACGTGCTGCTTGGAGCAGAAGAGTGTCAGAGTCCATTTGGATCGTACGAGCTGAGTTTACCTGTGGACGAAGACGTGGATTGTCGACCTGGTAGTTCACAATTAACAAACAAAAATTGCAAAGACTTTGACGTGAGTTTATTTATCGTTTACAGTGTGGTGGGAGGAATCGTTTCGAATCTTTCGGAGCTACATTGAACTCAAAGCCGATTGCAAAAAGTACTGAACAGTTTTTGATAAGTTGAGAACATTCATTTACACCCCGAGTGGGACAGAAAAAACACTAGAACAGACGCCGGAAGATGAAATATTTAACCAAAGGGTCGAACGTTCCAAGTATAATTGATTGTAGTTGACGATAAAACTTAGCCCATACTAGTATTATAGAGGGTAATAGACATCTACAGCCGTGACTGGAGTCTATACTATATGCAGGTGTAATCGCATGGGACTGAAAGCAAAACCCGTAACACTTACTACTAATAATAATTTGATAATAATTTAATATTCATATTGAGCAAATTAACATTTGAATATGATCATATGCGCATCACAACACTTTTCGAGGACTTTTGGCTGGAGGGTATCAGCAGTTTACAATCAATCGAAGGAAACTTATTTGAAGATGACCCCTCCCCCACCCCCNNNAACAAAGTTGAAGTAGTAAATTGGCCACCGTAACGATTGCAAAAGCTGACGTTTCGAGCGTTAGTTGTTTTTCTCGTTGCCATGTTCCCACCAATAACGTAGCTCCATTTTCTGCCTTTAAAAGCACACACAACCCACAATTCCTCTATTCGCTCCGACGAAGGGCTAACGCTCGAAACGTCAGCTTTTGTAATCGTTAAGGTGGCCAATTTACCATTTCAACTTTCTTGATATATCCAAATTATTTCGTTACTCCCACCGACGCAGCCCCAAACAGTTTCTTTCGAAACTATCAGCCTTAACTAATTAATTAACTAACTAACGAAGTAATAACTTACTTTCAGCCTATTGCAATAACCACGAAAACAACTGCTGAGACTGAATATTTACTTCATAAAGAGAAATACCTCTCTTGTTTTTATTAGACAAGCCTTTATGGGAGCTCACTCCATGGATTTTTATCACGGAGAGAACCTACAATTGGACGTTTGAGTCATAGACTAATAGTTTTAGCTAATAAGTTATGTAAAAGCTAGATTTCTTGTTTCATTCTTAGTGGACACATACCTAACATGAGTTTCCAGGTTTTTGTCCTCCCTTATTTGCTTTTCCAATTTATACCTCTCCCGTACTTACTTTTAGTTAATTTCCTTCTATGGTGTATTTTCCGCAGAGGAGCATCTTCACGAATATGAACGTATGGACACATTACTTATACTGGTCAGACAGATACCCAACCGGTCCGAATGATGAGAAATGCGCGAGTCACTCAAGAGCCAAGTCTCAAATTGTAGTATCTGGAATTCTCTAGCTTTAGAGCAGAACTCCTAAGGCGTGACAAGGAATAAATTATATATACTCAATAAAACGTTTCTGATAATTAAAAGTATGAAAAGAAAAAATTGGTGAAAACAATTTTTTCACTGTCAATTGAGAATGGGGCAGGGAGGGGAGGGAAGGGGCATGCAAAACTGGAAATCTTCAACAAGAAATAAATCTTGAAATCTTGAACAAGCTTAACGGTACGTGTCCAGCTCACACCTGACCATCTGAGCAAACAAGAATATTTGTCAAATGTCATCATTTGATTTCTGAAAAAGAAATTAATATCGAATTGGTGTCAAACATGGTAAATGGTTTTACACAATTTATTGTGAGATTAAAAAGATAATCCCTAACAAAAACAAACAAACAAATGAAACAAAAACCCGTTTGTCACACTGCTGAGGGACCTGTTATCATTATCACCTGGGGGAGGGAGGGTTTAAAGGACTTCGGTTCTGTCACGATGAAATTTACTTGCTTCTCTCATAAAGCTCCTATCTTCGGCAAGTTATCGTTAGTCAATTTTTACAGTCCCCTCTCCTATGTACAGCTGATGCCCCCTCTGTTCCCCTTAAAACCATGCGATCCTGCCCCACCCATCACCGGCGATAAATAATGACTGTTTCTAAACTGACATACACAGACACACACATCCTCTTCTCGGGCAACTACATTCATGACCCACCTAATTTAGTCACCATACACATCTTTACACATCCAAATCAATATTAGAAATTTATAAGGAACTGTTCTGTTTGATTTGCGCTGTATCTATTATGTTTTCCAAAGAAAAAGAATATCAGTAGTATTATTCAATACCAAAGGTTGATTGACGGATGAAATATATACATATATATTTGAGCAGGCCCACAACAAAAGCCAGATGCATCACAAACATTTTTTCACAATTTTGCATCAGCAAAATGGCCCAAACTGCTCTTCTTGTATTAACTGCTTTTGTCACAATTACAGCCACTTTTCCATTCCCAGAGGAAGGTAAGTGGTCTCTCACAGAATGTATTAGAGTTAATAGGGAAAGACCCAGGCCGTTTAAGACGCGGTCATCCAAATGTCAGCGCTGTTGACTCCAGATCGATAGCTGTAGATTAAAATCATACCAGGGGTCACTGATTTTTTTCCCCTTGAATCAGAATTATCACTCTCCTGTAAAGGAGATAAAATGACTTACGGGAATAAGTGCGTAATAGTGATTTTTTTAGGAAAGCCTGACGAAATCCATCAGCAATGAGTAAAATTACTGTCATAATATTTAATGAAATCAATCGCAGCTTACCTGCGAGAATCATTGATTTACTTAAAAATACTTTCTCTGAAACAAAAACAAGAATAAAATTTTAGAGGGCATGCGAGTTACTTTTGTAGTCCATCTTCACAAACAAGTGGTAAAAAAGCAAATACGAAAAACATTTTTTCGTTATTTTGTACTGCATTTCATTTCTTTTCCTTTTTTTTAAGGCAATACAGACATGTTTCTTCATGAAGGCGACATCAAGTTGTCGCCTGATCAGCGAACTGCTCTGGAACTTTTTGGTGATCCAACAGCTCCTTTAGGCGCCAGAGGAATGACCAATGAGCAGCACCATCTGTGGGACACCCTTGTAGCTCCATAAAACATATCCCTTGAGCTGGGTGTGTGTATATATGCTAGGAAATCACAATTTATTTGTAATTTTTCTTAATTTTTTTGAAAATCCTCTTTTCGACGCGAGTTTGATACAGTAGTGAAGAGACTATTGACATTCAAACGTCAGCACTTGGATATTTTTCTTTTGTTTCCTTTTTACGTTTGCTTAACTTATTTTCTTGTTTTAACTAGATTTACCTTTTCAGAAGAGAATCCTACTGCTAAAAGTGTCATTCTTAGCGCAATGCGGGAGTGGGAACAAAGCTCGTGCCTGTAGTTTGCGAGAAGAACAACAGAAAAAGACTATATTGAGTTTTTCAAAAGAGGCGGGTGAGTTTTATCTGTACAGCCGTCTGGCTATGTTTTAAAAGCTGCACACGAGGCACCTCGCGATACTTATACGAGGGAATAGAGAGTGTGATCCTTGGGATCTGAAGGATAAATTTTTGTAGACACTTTACAATTCAAAATTAATCTTGTATAACGGATTTTTAACGTTTTTCTCTTTTTTCATTAGTTGTTCCTGTTTTTGTTTTGCAAAGGTGTTGGTCATATGTAGGACGTCAAGGAGGAAAGCAGCTGATTTCATTGGCCAGCGATTGCTGGTATCAAGGAACAGTTGTTCATGAGATGGGTAAGAGACATATATCATGGTTAAAACGGTTTACATGCTTAGTTTCATAATTTATGTTTTTGCCTTTGATTTGGGGTGTAGGACACGCTTTGAGATTCTGGCATGAGCAGAGTCGTCCTGACAGAGATGACCACGTGGAAATTGTTTGGAAAAATATACCAGAGGGTAGGGTCGTACACATTACCTTAATTCATTTCAGTTTACAGTATTATTTTATGACCACAGGCATTTAAAGTTAAGAAGACAATTGTGATGTCTCTTTCCTGTTCACGTGTCCCTCCTCCTGTTTCCCTTCTCCGGTTTCCTTCCCCCTTCACCTGGTCCTCGTCCTTCCCCTTGTCCTCTTCCTAGCTCCCGTCCTCATTCTCTTCCTCTGTATCATTCTTTCTCGCTCTCCTTTCCTGTGTTCCTTCCTTCTTCCTTTTCTTTCCAGTCTTTCTCCTCCTTCGCCTCCTTATCTGGCTCGTCCTCCTCGTGTTATCACTTTCTGCTTCTCCCTCTCTCTCTTGGTGGAGGCACTCACTTTACCGCTCAACGGCCTTCCTCGTTCACCTCTTTTCCTTCCTTTACTCTTCCTTCTATCTTTCGAGCTGCTTTTCCACATTTGTTTCTTAGCTAAATAAAAGCCTTAAACAATCATAAAGGCTGATCGTTTCGAAAGAAACTGTTTGGGGCTGCGTCGGTGGGGGTTACGAAATAATTTGGATATATCAAGAAAGTTGAAATGGTAAATTGGCCACCGTAACGATTACAAAAGCTGACGTTTCGAGCGTTAGCCCTTCGTCGGAGCCGTGATAAAATTTTGCTTAATCTCAGACAAGAGGCGCAACTTCATGAAGTACAATGCATCTAAGATAGATTCGTTGGGGATGCCTTACGACTATTTATCCGTCATGCATTACTCATCAAATGCATTTGGCATCAACGGCACGACCACTATCATAGCAAAGGATTCGTCGATCAAACAACTTGGCCAGCGGATTGGACTTAGGGCGATGGACGTTAAACAGGCTGACCTACTGTATAGCTGCATAGGTAGGAGTTTGTAAACCTTATTATGGTTTACCATAATCGCGAATTACAAGAACTTACTCAGCAGGCAAGTTTTTTAAAGGAGCCTTCTATGATACCCTTTATCATATCTTTAGGTAATAATGTTACCAATGAATGTTAAAATGGGTGCTATTATTAATTCATACGGCTCACGATCAGGAGCTAAAACTAGACACTTCAAGAAAAATAAAAAGGAGAGCATTACATCTAATTCATCTCAGAGAATCGGAATACAAAACTAAACTTATGCATCAATTGCGCAAGAAATCAATTACTAATAAGGTAGATGAATAAAGAACAAATAAAATGGTAAATAATGTTACTTATGAAAATAATTTCTTACTTTATTCCTTTAACGATCATTTCGTTATATTCTTCAATACACGAAAAGCAATAACCAACAGGCCAGCAGCTACTCCCAATCCTTCACTACCTTATGATGGTGAGTGATCTTTAGTGATGAACTTAATTAGCCAATTTATTCCCAAATTATTTATTAATTAGCCAATTTATTCCCAAATTATTTATTAATTAGCCAATTTATTCCCTCTCGACGCTAGTCGACAGTACTTTTCTTTTCGGTCAGGACCCGAAGACTGCACATTTGATGACACTCTTTGCGGATATAAAAATATCGATGGCGACGACTTTGACTGGACGAGAAGAATGGGGAAGACTCCAAGTGGAAGGACTGGGCCAGAAACTGACCACACGACTCTTCGTTTCGGTGAGTTAACGGCTCTGTAGGACGAATTCATACATTTATAGTCTATGTCTTTTATTCTCAAAGTCAGTAATTTGATTTTGAAAACATTCAAAGAGGCAAAAATCAACTTTTTCTGTTTCTCTCTAGAGGCCTAACACTTTAAATGATGTAGAAAAATACTTGCATCATTTCTGCAGGACTTTTCATGTTCATTGAGACTTCAAAACCCAGGAAGCTTAATGACACGGCTTTACTTTGAAGCAAAATTTCCCTGCCATCTGGTGAAAGGTGTCTACAGTTTTACTACCACATGAGTGGAGAGGATATGGGTGCCTTATGCGTTCTGTATTCAACTTATGCTAGAGATAAAAAGATTTGGGAAAAACATCGAGACAAGGGAAATCAGTGGCATTTGGCTCGTGTCCAGCTTTCTTCTGCAAAGTCCCCTTACAGGGTAAAAATTTTCGCCTCTTAATTTTAACCCTGAGAATACAGAAAGGGTATGTTTCAATTCATGTAATGAGCTCTTTAGCTCGGGATCCTCCAATATAAAGTAATCTAAAGCGACAGGGAGTTCTTTATTTGAAGACATATGAGACTTTTTCAATTGC